ATTTTGCATCAATTCATTCATGTTTTCCTGAAATTATCCCTTTTGTCATTTCTTTTGGCACAATAGTACTTCATTATATTCATATGCCAGGTTTCAGGTTTGGGTTTTTGTTTGTTTGTTTTACTACTTCAAAAAGCAAAAGGGCTACTATAGGTTTTTTTAACTTCTTTAATTTCCAGGTTTGGGTTTTTTGTTTTATTTTTTGCTTGTTTGGGGGGGGGGGTTCCTTTGTTACTTCAAAAGGGCTACTATAAGTATTTTTGTACACATAGGTCCTTTTTCTTTACTTTTAACCTGTCAATGGGCCTACTAAATGTATCATTGGATCAAAGAGTATTCATAATTGAATAACTGTTGGAGCATAGTTCCAAATTATTTTCCAGTATGGCTGGGCCAATTTACAGTTCCACCAACAGTGTATCAATATGCCTATTTTCCCACAGACTTTCCAACATTTTCCATTTCCCATTTTTGGTCAACTTGCCATTGGAGTTCATTGATTAGTGGAATGCCATGGTTGAACTTTCACTTTAGGAACATCACTTTGGCAGTTATATGGAGGATAGGTTGGAGAGGGGAAAGATTTAAGGCAGGCAGACCCATTACAAGATTATTAAAATAGCCCAAGTAGGAATGATAAGGCAGATGGGTAGAGAAGGGGAGAGATGCAAGAAAGTTTGTAGAACTATAAATGCCAAAATTTGGCCATCAATTAGATTACAGGGTGAGAGGGAGTGATGAATCAAGGACAATGACTCGGTTGTGAACCCAGGTAGCTGAAAAGATGGTGGTGTCTTTGACAAATAGGTAAGTTCAGAAGCAGGGTGTGTTTTGGGGGAAAGATAATGAGTTCTGACTTTTATGTTACAAGTTTGAGATGCCAATGAGACTTCCAATTTTAAATGTTTGACAGGTCCTTGGAGTTATGCATGACTGGAACTAAACAGAGAAGATAGGGCTGATTATATAGACTTCAGAGATATCTGGATAGAGATGACAACTAAACCTATGGGATCAAATGAAATCATCAAGTGAGAGAGTGTAGAAAGAGAAAAGAAGAGGTTAGAAGGTATGAAATGGAAGATTAGCAAGCTAAGGAGACTGAGAAGGAATCAAACAGGTAGGAAGAGAACCAAGAGAGAGCAGTGCCATGACAATCCAAAAAGAAGAGGATCTGGGAGGCAGGTAGGTGGCACAGTGGATAGAGCTCTGGCCTTGAAGTCAGAAGGACCTGAGTTCAAATCTGGTCTCAGACATACAACACACAACACATACTAGCTGTGTGACCTTGGGCAAGTCATTTAACCCCAATTGCCTAGAAAAAAGCAAAAAAAAAAAAAAGAAAAGGAGAGGAGAGGAGAGGAGAGGATCTGGGAGGAGAGAGGTAAACTACGAAGAAGTCTTAAAATGTTGAGGATACCTTTATTACCCTGGTATTAATAAAAAGGACTAATATTCTTCTTATGAGCAAATCATGTTATATCAAGCTTTCATAGAATCATAAACTTAGAACTGGAAGGGACCTTAGAAATTATCTACTGTAATTCAACTTCCTCATTTTGCAGACAAGGAAACTGAGATCCCGTGAGATTGCTCAACATCACACATGGTAAAAGTGGGGTTTGATCCTGGCTCTTCTGTCTCCCAATACTTTTCTCATGACTCTGTGAGACATATAAATCTAGAACATAATAAGCTGTGTTATAACAGGACTCTGCCACCTTCACATATTTAATCTATCCCACATAACAGAGAACTAGTATAGCTACTATAAGAACAGGATTTCCCCAGGGAGTTGCAAGTTCACTTCCTAGAAAATGATTTTGGAAGTTTGACGTCATGGGTATTTGCTTTACAATGAAAATCACTGTGCAGAATGTTGTGTTTAAAATCATGCCATAGAACTTGAGAGTGCCAAGGCATTCATACAAATGCCAAGTGAAATGTCATCCTTTCTTCCTCTGTCCTCCCCCCACCCCCTTTTTCTTTGCCATAGATACTGCTTACATCTCCCAAAAGTAGTTGATTGCATTGCAAAACCATGCCTGCTTTCTGGGCAGCATTACTAGAGTCCCTATGCAGAAGGGGAAGCCAGATAAATGGGAGAAAGATTTTAAGGATAATACTTACAGAAATCTAGTGCAAAGCCTCTAACATGGGCTCTGAAGCATTGGAACAAATTCATAGGCACAAAAGATCATGCATTGAGTGCTTGGAAGGGAACTTTACTACAAGCCCTTCATTTTACAGACAAGGAAACTGAGGCCCTTTGGACTGATTTTCAGCAGTTGGAGCTCTTGTACTTGTGATTTGGTAGTCATCTGTCCTATCACCGGGGCTGATGCAATCAAGTGAAAGTGCTGGAAAGCTACCACTGCAATCAGCTGGATCAAATTTCAAGGGAAGTATAGTATTTAATTGTTGTGTGTGTGTGTGTGTGTGTGTGTGTGTGTGTGTGTGTGTTTTTTTCTTTTTTTTTAACAGGAAGAAGTAGTTTAGAACAGAACTGGAGAGGGTGCTTGTCTTAAGGGAGATTCTATGGTGCTGTTACATAGTGTCACTCAAATTTGTCACTATGACTTTTTCAACATGTGAAGAAAAGAAAGATCAGTCATGTCCTCTGCCCTCAATCCTTTTTTCCCCCTAATTTCAACTTTTACAGGAAATGTTCCAAACTAAGAGTTCTTAACTTTTTGTGTCATAGAGACCTTTGGCAGTCTGGTAAAACCTTTGTACCCTTTCTCATAATAATGTTTAAAATGCACAAAATAAAATATATAGAATTATAAAGAAAACCAATTATACTGAAATACAATCATCAAGATTATTTTTAAGCAAATTCATTGACCCTAGGTTAAGAACTTTTGCTTTGAACCAACTCCGAGGCTAGTACTTCATCATGTAAATGTCAAACCAGATTAGACATATTTAACATAAAAAATAAGCTGTGGCTGTCAAAGGTGACTGCCTATCTATAATTTAATTACAACATATCATAGTGATAGAGGGCTGAGTAGGTTCAAATTCTGTCTCTGACACCAACTAACTTTATTACCATGGATGGGCACATCATTTAACCCTGAAGTCCCTCTGCAACTTTAGATTACAGAGGGGTTGTTGGTCTGTATTAGTATACGGAATTTCCATACTGAAATTATAGAATTAGAGACTCAAAGCTAGACCCTGGTAGCCATCTAATCCAACTCCCTCATTTTGCAGCTGAGAAAAGTGAGGTTCCTAGGATTACATAGGTAGGATTTGAACATTGGTCTTTTGACTCCAAAGCCACTTGTTTGTTTGTTTTTCCATTGTACCATATTGTCTCCCAGTTCCTGGAACTAATGAATTCACAGATCTGGACCACCACCAATCCCCTCCCCAAATCTAATTAATTGTAATATGCCCTTCATTGAGCAATGTTGTGATTGAAGCTTACCCAGCATGCCCCTCCACAACAACCTAGAAAATATAACAGACAGAATCCTGATCAGGAAAGCCAAGAAAAAGTCAGAGGGAGCCATTTTTTTTTCCAGCCCAGGGCAACTTCAGAAGCTAGAGAGGTCTGTGGACACTGGTGTGGGGACTGACCAGGATGGCAGTGCAGCAGCAGGGAGCATTCTGGCACCTAAGAATCATAATGGGGCTGCAACTGAATTCCAAGGTAAGAAAGAAGCACCATGGTAGAAAGCAGTGGGAGCAGGAATGGGTGATAGGTGGGATCTCTGTCACCCATTTTCCAGTTCCAGTTCACAATTCAAGTGTGGAAAAGAGCATTTGTGAGAGTGGCCCAAGCTATGCAAGGAGAAAGCAACAGGTTTCAAAGTTATCTGTGTGACTGAGTTCACTGACCATCAAGCTGGAAAGGCTTTGAGAATTGGCCTGGTTACAATCTATTGCTGGAAAACCAACCTAGCTGAGCTCAGAGAAACTCATCACCCTTTAGTGGTGAAAATTGGTCAATACGTGATCTTTCTAACCCCCCTGAAAATCACTTAATTGTCTATGAAAGCTGCAATATGTGTCTATTGCAGGAGCAACCACACCAGAAAATCATAGACATCTTGAAATATTGAAGCAGTACTAATAATTACTCTGGGTGGTTGGGATGATGATAACCAATGGTGGAGATAATATGGAGCTGCCCTAATAACTGATTTTTCTTTTAACCAAACAGAATTATTCTTAGTCTGAAAAGGATAGAAGTAAAAATAGACAAGAGTTCTTACTAGCTGTGTGACCCTGGGCAAGTTACTTAACCCCAATTGCCTAAAAAAAAAAAAATAGACAAGAGTTGGTCCTCAAAATAAAAAGATGAGAAAAGCACCCAACTGCCCTTATGAACTCACTAGGTCCAGATGAATTAATTCCTTGAGTACTAGAAGAACTGGCATCAGTGAGTCTCTGTTGATTATCTCTTAAAAATTGTAAAGAAGTCTCAAATATGGCGATTTTTTTTAAATGGGAGGGGAGAAGAAAATAGAATCTGCAAACTATATGCCAGTGAATTTGACATCAGTTCCTGGTAAAATTCTGGAATATATTAAAAGGCTGGTTAGTGAACATCTAGAAATGGAAGCAGTGATAAAAAAAAAAAACCCAATATGGATTCATCAAAAATGGCATGCTAGTCTAGGCATTTTTTTTTTTTGGTGAGGGCAATTGGGGTTAAGTGACTTACCCAGAGTCACACAGCTAGTAAATATTATGTGTCTGAGGCCACATTTGACCTCAGGGCCTCCTGACTCCATGGCTGGTGCTCTATCCACTGTGCCACCTAGCTGCCCCAAGGCATTTCTTTCTTAATAGGATTTCTAGATAAGGAGAATATTGTAGATATAGTTTACTCTTTTTTTATTATTTGATGAAGAATCTTATGCTATTCTTTTGGAAAAGATACATAAAGAGATACATTTAATTAGGTAGAATTGAAACTTTTTAAATGGTCCAGACCAAAGAGTAATAACAAATGGTATCATTTCAACTTGTAAGCAAATACCTACTATATCCCAGGGATCCTCACTTGCTTCTTTGCTGGGGGTTTTTTCTCAATGATTTGAATAAAGCCATTTTTTCAAATATGCAGATGACACAAACCTGTAAAGACATACAACAACAGAGAAAAATAAAACAAGTACCCAAAATAATAGATAGGCTAGAATATTAAACTGAATCAATTAAGATAAAATCTAATAGGGATAAATATAGATTCTTACCCTTAGAGTCAAGAAAACAATTTCACAAGGAGAAGATGGGTAGACAGATATTTATCTGGGGAGGAGGCAGTTCTTGGGAGGGAAAAGTGGATTGCAAGTTTAATGTGAGTCAACAGGGTGATATGACAACCAGGAAAGCTAAGGCAATCTTAGGCTTTCATTAAGAGAGGTATAATGTCTAGAACTAGGGAAGTGATAGTTATTCTGGACCCTACCCTGGACAGACTACATCTGGACTACCAAGTTTAGTTTTTGATGCTACATTTTAAGAAAGACGTTGACAAGCTAGATCCTATCCAGAGGAAGGCAAATCAAAAAGGCGAAGGGTTTCATGTTCATGCCACATGAAGACCGGTTGGAAGATATGGGGCGGTTGTGCCTGGTGAAGAGCAGGTTTAGCAACAACATTCTATTTGAAGGGTTGTCACATGGTAGAGGCATTAGTTTTGCTTGGCCCTTGAGAAGAGAAGGGGATGGGGGTAATAGGTAGAAACTGCAGAGGCAAATTTAGTCTTGACTTGAGGAAATGTTTGCTTAACAATCAGAGTTGTCTAAAAACGAATTTGACTTCCTTCAGATGCAGTGAATTCCCCTTCACCAGAGCTCTGCCAGCAGAAGCTGAATGACCACTTCTCAAATTCAGTGTAGAGGTATGGGCTAGATCAGATGAGCCTGGAGGTCCCTTCCAATTCTGAAATTCTATTATTCTATATAGTACTATATATTTCACAGATAAATTTAGATAGAGTTCTCATTTGAGACTGAATGATCACTAGTCAGGTATATTGTCGAAGGGGATTCCTACTCAAGGACAAGTTGAACTGAGAGAACAGCATATGGGAAGTGAACTGATTCTAGAGTTAGAGGACCTTTCTTTCAAATCCGGTGCCTGACCTGTCTGACCTTGGCCAAGTCATTTAATCTCCCTTGGCCTTGGTTTCTTCACTTGTAAAATAAAGAAGATGGATTAAATGACTCCTGAGGTCTCTTTTAGCTCTAGATTTATGATCCTATGGACCTCTTAGGTCCCTTCCAATTTTTTTTTTTTGCCAAACTCTAGGTTAATTTATTTTGCTTTATCAACAATCACCTCCATAAGCCCTTGAGTTCCACATTTCTCTCCCCCTCCCTCTCCACCCCCCTCCCCCAAGACGGCAAGCAATCCAATACAGGCTACACATACACACTCCCACCAAACACAACCTCATACCAGTGATGTTGCAAGCAAGAATCAGAACCAATAGGAGGAACCACCAGGAAGATGAAACAAAACACAACAGAAGAGAAAAAAAGCAAATTGTATGCTTCAATCTGCATTCAAACTCCATAGTGCCTTCCTGGATGTGGACAGCACCCTCCATCACAAGGCCCCCAGAGATGTCCCAGATCCCTGCATTGATGAGAAGGGCCAAGTCCACCAACATCAGCCATCCCACAACGTGGCCACCACCGTATACAATGCTGTCCTGGCTCAGCTCATTCCACCCAGCACCAGACTGAGGCCAGCTTCTTTATCTTGAGCAGGATGTGTTGAACCTGGGTGATGCTTCCAGGCAAAGGTTGCCCTAGGGCCCTAAGCCATTGCCAGGGGGCCCACACTGTAGTTTCTGACCCTCCCCCCTCCTTCCTTTCCCAGGTAGGGGAGGGCAAAATCAAAGGTGAGGGGTAAAGGGTGAAACTCTCTTCTCCTATGAGAGGGGTTAACAAGATACCTTCTTGACTCAAGGGAAGGGAGTGACCAGGTTGTACAGGTGTTTCAAAACTCCTTAGTGATCAATCACAAAACCTCCAGAACCTGCCAAGATATTTTTAGCTATTCTAACTTTCCCTGTAAGCTCCATGAAGGAAGATTTAGAGGTGCAGAAGGAAGGGAGTAAGTAAGCCTCAGGGAACCAAAAAGCAACTGCAGTTTTCCCCAATTCCCTAGCCCCAAGAGAATTAACAGAATTGAACATACACTTCCAGATAGGGCATCCATCCTTGTCCTCTGTGCTGCAGAAGGTGTACCCAGGTCCATGGCCTTGAATCAACCCAGTGGACCAAGAGCCTGAGAGCATCAGGCCGGGTGCTAGACAGCCTCATAACTGTCTGCCAGAAAAGTACCTCCATGGGCAGCTAGGTGGCACAGTGGATAGAGCTCTGGCCTTGGAGTCAGGAGGATCTGTGTTCAAATCCGGCCTCAGACCCTTGACACTTACTAGCTGCGTGACCCTAGGCAAGTCACTTAACCCTAATTGCCTAAAAAAAGAGAAAAAAAAGGAAAAAAAAACAGAAAAGCACCTCCAAACCTTGGTGCTTGGACAGCAACCCCAACTGCAGGGCAAGAAAGGAGGGGAGGGGTGAGGCTTACATACCTTCTAGTCTTGGCTGGAGAAGAACTTGGGATTAGGCAGTTTCCCCCTACAGACCACCAAAATGATGCAGTTTAGGGGTTCAGGGGCCCTGGGACCCCAAAATCACAACACATGGGTTCTGTCCAAAAGAATTTGACCCAAGCCTTCTTTCAGCCAAAGACAAGGTTTATTAGAACAACAGTCATATTGGGCAGACTCTTAAGGAGTCCGAATGTTAGTGAGCTGTTAGCTAGATTTTAGGAATCTCAGCCATGGCTAGATTTTAAGAATCTAAGCCTCCCTTCCAATTTTTGAGATTCTGTAATTCTCATAACAACCTTATGAGATAGCTAGTACAAAAATTATGACCCCCATTTTATAACTAACTTGGAAAGATTGAACAGCTTTCTCAAAGTCACAGCTCATAATTGGCATTGCCAGGGCTCAAACCTAAGTAATCTAAATTCAAATCCATGGCTCTTTCTACTACGTAACACTTTCTACCAATGACTCAATAACAAACAGAGTACAGTATGGGTTCCCAACTTTGCTTTAAAGAAAATAATTAATTTCCTAAGGTCATCTAAGGAGAAGAAAAAGGGGAGATGGCTCAGGGCTTGGGGCATAGGGTTTGGAGTGTTTACAAGGAAGCACACAAACAGTGGGAGATGTGTAAATGTTGTTAAAAGCCTCCCTCAGAATAATGGAGAGGATATACTCATCTCTGTTAGAAATCTAAGTAAACCACAGAGAAGGAAGCCTTATAGAGAGTGGGACATGGTCAGGGCAACCAGCTTGGACATCTACCAGGTGAATCCTAGTCTACCAGGCTCTGCCATGGCAACCACCTTTGAAATCTATCACAATAAATCCTAACCTACTGGTTGGAGACCTGAAGAATTAAATTAGAAAAAGCTAAAAAGCATTTTTAGGAAACTAACAGAATGTGGCACCAAAGTAGCCTTAAATTCCAGACCAAACTAAATGTCTATAGAGAAATGGTGCTTTTTAGCTTCCCATATAGCCCCAAAACAAGAATCTGCCATACCAGGTTCTCTTATAGCCAACTATAAATCCTACTAAACATGAAGGGGCAAATTAAGATCACCAAGCCAACAAATCCACAAGCATTTATTAAGCACTGACAGAGACTCTTCCTTCTGAAAATCATACCTTCAGTGGGGGCTTAAGTACTCAGAGCCCAGGAAAGCAAGAGTCAAAAAGGGAATTTCTGTCCTCCCAGGAGGGACTCCTTTTTGACAGAGAACTGTCACTAGACAGGTGCTAAGCACTGAGGACACAAGTAGAAGCAAAAAGAAAGGCAGTTCCTGCCCTCAAGAAGCTTACATCCTAATGGAGGAAGACAATATGTAAAAGAGAGCTCCAAAAAATGAAGGATGGCTGGTCTTGGCTTTTCCTCGAAATGGAGGTTCTGAGAAAAATTCACTCACGGGATAAGGGGGCCACAGGGAGAGAGGGAGAAGACAGCTGATGCATGATGGGAAAGTCCAAAGAGTGAAGCATGGATTGTCTGGGCACTTCCCAATATGCTATTACAAAATCAACAACTGAATGGTCTCAGGTGTGAAATGGTCACACAGAAACATCAGAACAAGGAGTTCAAACAGCTACAGCCAAAGGCCCGAAACTGGGAACAGAGATTGTCAGGCAATCAATTCGGTAATACTCCTTGCTTCTCAACTTCCTATTTCAATATAAAATATAAAATATAAGCTCCTTGAGAGAGGGAATGGGTTGTTTTTTGTTTTGTTTTGTTTGTTTTTGTAATTTTGTCTTCATTTGATCTAGCACAGTAACTTGCACAGAGCAATCACTAAATGTTTGCTGAATTGAATTGAATTGACTCAATACTATTTTCCTGTTTGTGAATCTCAATTCCAATAACCAGTTTCCCTTTCATATCAGTTTCTGGGACCTGGGTGGTCCACAAAAATCTTATCACCCATCTGGCCTGGGTTGTTTTGTTTTGTTTGCATTACCTCTCATTCTCAACCAGACCTTGACTCCTTAGGCCCCTGTAGAGATTAGCTCCACAGGTGAGTAAATTAGGGCTTTTCATTATATCAATGAGAATAAGGGCTCCCTGAGTTTTAGGAAATCAAAAATGAGGAGACTTGACCAGTTTTTCCTCTCCCTTTCAGTTCCTTCATTTGGTGGTAACTCTGTACGCTAGAGAGGAGAAAAAGAAACCCATGGACAAAACTTACATATACAAAGGGAATTTATTAAAGGATAGCTTTTATAACCGGATGGAGATAGAAGTGAGATTCTATGGGCCTCCAAATTGGTGTTCAAATTGGAGAGGGCAGCTCCAAAAATAGCTACCTGGCTTTCCCTATTTGCATAAGAAAATTCCTATCCAGGGGCAGCTAGTTGGCAGAGAAGATGGAGCACCAGCCCTGAAGTCAGGAGGACCTGAGTTCAAACCCGGCCTCAGACCAAACACCTGACACTTACTAGGTGTGTGATCCTGGGCAAGTCACTTAACCCCAATCGCCTAAAAACAAAAATCCTATCTGAATGTGTG